ATTGAGTTACAATATCACTATATAAGTAATATAATACAAAAAGAAAATGTTACTATTGATTATCTTTATACAAAAGATATGGTTACAGATCCATTGACAAAATTTATTGAAACTGAAGAATTTAAACGACATGTCGTTACTATGGATTTAAATTATGAATGAATATCTTGGATTTGTAGCCAAGTAGGAGATGTTAGAATATGTGGTTAAAATCTTTTGATATTAAATAAGCCACGGTTGGTGTTCAAATTTGAAATATATATATATATATATATATGTGTGTGTGTGTGTGTGTGTGTGTGTGTGTGTATATATATATATACACACACATATATGCATGCATCACTACAAAGTAATATTTAATACATAATAAGTTCACAAAAAAATTGATATAATTTGATGTTTGAGTTGGATTTTTTCTAGTCAGTATGGATAACTTGGTTAGAAGGACCCATCAAGTAGTGAAAGACTAGTCAATCTTATTTGGAATATAATTAGTCTTCTTTGACTGCAGAGGATTGAGAAAATATTGATGAAGTTAAAAAAATATTGGAGAGTTGAGGATATTATGTTGAGTAGTAACGGCTAGTTGAACGATTAGCTGATATATACTCTCAAAATCCCAACTTTACTACTTTCATATTAATGAAAATTTTTAATTCTCAAAGGCTAACTCCCCGTTCATCAAATTTATTAAGTTATGTTTCAAATTTTCTGCACATAGATGTACTAAAGGATATTGCAACACATCCAACACCGTCACATATTTCAGGACCATGAGAAATTAAAAAACTTCAGAAATATACACTTGATTACAAAAAGTTATTGCAGCATACAATAACAGATCTAATATATTATTATCAGTGAAAAGGGGATTGAAAATTATTAGCTCACAACTGATTATAAACAAAGAAAAATTACACCAAAACCTCTTAAATTTGTTACTTAATCACTCAGATTCTCTAATATTTAAAATATTATACATAGACCCTTAAAATTTGTATGTCATTATAATTAAATCTTTGTCGTCAATGTTCGCTAGAATATCTATTAGTAAATTACACCAAAACAATTGAAATTTGTAGGTACGTAGCATTTAGACCTTTTAAGTTTAAAATATTATACTTATACCCCTTATTAATTACAGAACTAACGAAATATATTAAACAACTAAATTATCTCAATTAAAGTTAGAAGATATTGTGTTCATTACAGTTTAACCCCTTATTTGATTTTTCGGTGTTATTTCAATAGACATTATAATTATATGCAAATGAGTATTAAATTAATTTTTTTGATATATTTATACTCATTTATATTTTTTTCTTAAAAAAATGAGATTTTATTTTGTCTTTATATCAATGGATGATATAATATAGCATACAAATGTGTTGATTAGACTTCTTTCATATGTTCGTATTTGAAGGTGTAAAAATTGACCTAATGTGAAAAGTCTATTTAGTCTAAGTTCAACACATCCTCTCAAGAGTTCTAATTTGAATAGGATTCTACATATCATGGATAAATTAGATTTAATAGCACAGATAAGATCATATCAGCGTTTAACGATAAGGACTTACTCCTTATCTTTCTATGATAGACTAGATTTTCAATTATTATATTTACACAATCAAAATTGGCAGAACTCCTATAAATAGAGTTTCATTGATGTTCAAAGTATGTCACTCCTAACTTCTAAACGCATTTTATACATTTGAGTCACTTACTGACTTAACTATTAGAGAGTCAATCCCTAGAGCTCCACTCCGGTCTCTGAGTTTTTTTTTCAGATGATCGAAAACCCAACAAACGGATATGGAAGTCGTCTAAATTTTGACATCAACAACACTAATTATAATTTTTGAAAAAAAAAATTAGATTTTTATTTTTGATTTTATTTCAATAAATGACATAATAAAACATGAATTTCAATTTTAAAATTTAAAATATTTGATATTTGATATTTAATTGGAGTATTTTTAGTCTAATTGTAATATTTTAAACTTGAGAAGTCTAAATATTACAAGCTTCTAATTTTAGGGGTCTAAATGTAATTTAGTAATGGACATTAACGACAAAGATCTAATTTTAGGCACGTACAACCCTCAAGGGGTTAGTGAGTAATATTTTAAATATCAAGAGATCTAGGTAATTAAGTGACAATCCTTAAATGTTTGAATGCTCTTTTATCATTGTTATGAGTGTTTTTATCATTATTGCGTATTCAAAAAAATGGTAAAAATAGTTATCACAAAGTATAAATTAACCACAATAGTGATAAAAAGACCCACAAATATGACAAATCACCCACAAAAATAATAATTTTTTTTATATCAAAAGAAAGTTATAAAAATAATTATCACAACAATAATAAAAATATCCACAACAATGCTAAAAATTGTTCATAAAAGTGATAAATTATCCACAAAAAATGATAAATTTTTAATTTTTAAAATAACTCACAAAATTTATAAAAATATATTTTAAAATAATAAATTTTAAAAGTATATTGCCAAATTTTTTTTGTCAATACCATAATCAAGTCCACACAAAGGGCTTGAGTAAACACCAAGATTTTATGCAAACAAAGATCGAGCATATTCTCGGTCTTCAAAGCTTCGCAGCTCTGACCGAAAAGCAAGAGAAAGGGGAGCAAATGCACCATTCCAGAGGAAAAAGCCTTCGGCCAGCTTATTTACTGTCCCTCTCCCCCGCTCAAGCTACTACTACTTGCACTCTTGTGCACGTGGAAGAACCTTTTTGGCAGCCACCGGCCATTGGCTTTATTTTAAACGAGAAAACTCTCTCCAATGCTTTAAAGTTTAAAGTATAAACAAGACGTGAGAACGAAGGTCACTATTGTACCTTTATTATGTTTTTCGCTTTTCCAAGTTTGTCTCAAAAATCAAAGATTTTAGGAAAATTTCATCTATATCCTGTGTAGATAAGTCTAATTTCTATGACACCTCTTTCTAATTTTGAAATTTCACTGCATTCTTTTATAGTTTATATATTTACTGAAAACTAAGAAAAATGATAATTTTATCTTATTTTTTTAAAAAAATACTAATTTTACCCCTTTTTTCTTCACACTACTTCCAATACACTTTCGCCTCCATAACACCACCACATCGGCACCACCACAAACCACCTGAAGCAAATACACAACATTTTTTTTTCAATATCAAATAATTGGTGAGGATATTATTATATGTACAGAAGATAACAAATTATAGTTGAAAGCCAGAAGCCCATGTGAAACCTAAATCAAATTAGGACTTATGCAAAAGCAAGCAAGATACAACATGACCCCTGACAGACCAGCCATTACACTTAATATATAAAACAATACAAAGTTGAAGGGTAATGTAGTAAAAGAAGCATTGTTGTCCGGTCCGTCACTCGATCAAAACTAGCAAGAGATGTCAGTGAAATTTGAAAATCGAGAAGGAGTGTCACAAAAGTTAAAAATGAAATTTTTCAAAGATTCAACTATTCACTTAATCAATGTTTACAAATCATTCAGATCAAAATTAATGAGACCACAGATAAATTTCTCTGCAATATTGTAGCCTTGTCCAATTTTCATTTGAACTTCGGTTAGAAAAGGCCATCGTGTGTGCTGGAGAGAGAATATGTTCACTCTTTCTGTAGGTAATTAATTTTATTTTTTTTTTAAAAAAAGTTAAAGACGTTTTAATATGATTCAAAACAGGCCAACGGACACGGAGCAGAAGAAATGCTCACGCTTGACTCATCTAATTTACTAATTAATAATAGATCTTACAATTTTATTAGATAATATTTAATAGAGAAAAGACAAAATTTCAACCTGTTAATCTCAATCTAATGAATCGAGAGCGTAAGAGTTGTTTACCGTACCAACACTTATCACAATTATGACTATTTTTTTATTGTTATGAATATTTTTATTATTATTGTAAATGAATTACCATTATTGTGATAATTATTTTTATTATTTTTTCCGATAACACAATAGTTATATTGTAATAAAAATACTCGCATCAGTTTCATAAATATGATACTGAAATTTTTTTGATGTACCATTAACAACTCCGTATATTCACGTTTACATTGCAGAGTAGAGGTGTACCCGGTGAGCTGACTAAGCCATAAAGGGGAGAAATATATTTGACATTTTTTTTCAAAAAGTATTTTTGCCTCTTTTTCTATGTTTTTGGGTGCGAAAGCCAAAAATTTGGCAAATCGAAGCCACAAATTTCGACTTTTTGACTTTGAAAAGGACCTTTCATGTCAACCACATATGCTCTGAGCATCCTCCACTTGTTTGTTCAACCGGGCACTGAATGGAATCCCATGTCCCCAGGGAGCCTTGATTTTGCGATTCAAAATTTCAAAGAAGACTTTTAGACATACAATCGATATATACACCTTTTCACTTTCCTTGTTATAAAATCTTTTATCGTAAACTTCGAAGATAAAAGGCAAAGTTATACTGAAGAAATAAGCGCGCGCGCGCGCCCACACACAAAGCATCCCTATTCTCAAACACCGTTCTACAATCAGATTTTTCAGTCACCCTGGCAATGGAGCACCAAAGCTAAATGCCACAATATTAGGCACTGACGACCAGTGGCATTTGCCATTCTACTCTTATCATAATGGACTAAAGTACAATCAAAGGCAGACCCCCAAAAAAATAAACGAAAGACAGAACAAAATCCGGTTTGTCTCGACAGGACAACCAATCCCACGCTAATAAGCCCATTTGCAAATATGCACCTTCCCTCCTTTATCTTCTCTCTTTCCCATTTCCAATGCCATTTATCTCACCTTTCAACGGATTCACAGTATTCCCAAATTGAACAAAATTCTGGCGATGTAGTTTTGGAGAATGAACAAGGTTTGGCAAGAAGAACCACAGTCGTACTCAACCTTGATATGTACTTTCAAGAGTTCCCATCAGAATCACAAGCTGCATTGGACTGGATTATAACTCGAGCTCCTGAAGCAAGCCTGTTGGGATAAAATCACTATGAATCTCAACCAGCTTGAACAAGATAAGCAGAATGTTTTTAGTTAGTTGAGTGTCTATTGGAAAAATGAGTTAAGAGTCAAAACTTAACTTTCTTCGAATTTGATTACACTATCCTCTGTTCTGAAGGAATCTAGTCTCTTTGATTGTTTCTTCCCTGATGATGGCTCTGTGATTCTTTTGCTGCCACCATTGGATCCAGCAGGTGTTATGGATCGTGAGCTGTGAACTCCGTCTGATGAGATTCTTGGTCCCTCAGAAATGGGAGATCTCGTTGAATCACTTCTTGGCTGCTTGCTCAGTGAAGCCTTGATTGATCGTGGGATGCACTTTGAATGTGCCGAGGTAGTTTCCTCTTTGTCTTCACCCGAATCAAATTGTTTACTTGTCCTGTTACAAAGTATTTTCCTAATTTTAGTATGAAAAATAGCACTGGGAGAATAGTACGCTAAATGTTGGCTACCAAAATTGTTGGTGGAGAAGCAAGCACCACCTACTATTACCAAGATTAATTGTTTCCATGACAAGAAAATTTCACCATGAAAAGAAATGATATTAAGGAAATTGTAGGAAAGTGAGGACCCTTTTAGGATTTCCATTGCCCGATATTGTATGGTATTCTATAATTGATTGTGATAATGACAACCTATTTGAACAATATTTATTTTTTTGATTAACTTCACATGAAATTCAACTGTGCTGCATGTTGACACACGTTACATCCAACCAAATCTAATATTTTTTTTTCTAAATCACCTAAGGCAAGATAATTAATAGATTTAGATACATGGAATTGGTGAAAGATAACATAAATATAATCACATACTTTGGTGATTAATAGGATAATGAATGCAAAAAATACATGCAGACATTGTAAATAGATGCCAGTTGAAAACCCAGTTTGGCCAGTATGAATTCAGGAATAAGTCAAATCTGACAAATTCCGAACAACCAATAACATGTTAGAGCAGGTCATGTGACTGCCTCATAATTACCTTTCCATGTATCATATGAGTTCCGTTGTAGATATCCTGAGGCATAAAATTTGGCCAATTCGGGAATCTTTATGCTTCTTCTGATACATATTATTTGTTTTTAAATGTAGCACCTTGACCTCTTTAAGCTCACATATATGTAAGATGAAGGCTAACAGCAAACTCATAATGTGGTATGCAATAGTGTTGGAAACAGGCTAAGTGGCTAACCTGTCAGCATTGTAGGAAGAAGATCGTTTTAGAACAGCTACTCCTTCCTTAAGCATACTTGTCTCAACCAAGCTCCCACTGAAATATTCCTTATCTTCCAACCGCAGACTCATAAGCCTTGGATTCTCAGTCAGGCAATCCATCTCTCCCAACATCGTCGACGTGGAGAACAATGGGGAAGGAAATTTTGAATGTGAAAACCTTGGCCTGTAGGTTGGAATGAGGCCAAAGCTGTGATTTTTCACTGAAATTGATCCACAGGAGATCAGCTGCATCAGCATATTTGAAGCCTTGACCTTTGTACAGGTCGGCATTCGAAATTCCTCCTCTTCGAGTATCCTAAAGCTATTAAGCTTACTAGCATCAGCTCTGATCAGAGATTCCAAGGTCTCGGTCTTACCACCAGATGAAGAGGCACTGGATGAAGATGGAGGAGGGGAGACTGAATCCCTGCAAATTTCAGAACTCTGTTTCACACGTGGAATTTGGTTTTGATGTTTCCCATTCCTTTCAGGTTCTAATGAACCATCATCTGTCGACACACCCCTTGTACAAGTCTTTCGAGCTCTATTCGCTCTGCTTGCGTTTTCCTCAGTTTGAGTGGAAGCATCAGCAAGACCATGGCTCTTGTAAACCTTATACTCAGCCAAGGCTAACAAACCATGCCCAGAGGAATCTTTCACAGCACTGGATTCTGGGGAAACTCCCGAAGAACTCGGATGTTGAACCGGAGGAGAGAGCTCATCATCCTGAGAATGCTTTGTATCTCTCCCACTCATGCTCGAAGAAGATGAAGACTCGTCTTGGCTCCTGGAAGATTCTGGTTCTGCTAATTGTTTGTGAATTGGCAATCTTATATTAGCAGCTGGACTGAGACGACCTGAAAACAGAAAGTCCCATTTACAACTTTGGCTTCTTCTGTGTCATGACTAATTTTATCCATTCTGTTGCTGAGAAATTGAACTGAAAAAATACGGTGTGTGTTCTCCATTTCTTTTAGTCAGATATTTACCAAAATCTCGATAGCTCTTAATGATAAAAACAAAACTTTGGAAAGGCAGAATCAACAGAATGAAGTTTAGCTTTGGAGAGGGACTAAAATATTGTGGAGCAAAGAATTGAAGAAAAGAAGCTTGCAAAGCTATACATACTTGGGAGAAAGATAAAAACATTGCCCAGCAAAGAATTTGCAAAGCTATAGATACTTGCAATTTTATCCAAGTGAACAAATAGAATAAGGTTTCTGAAGATAATATACTGCTAAAACTTAATAATCTTCCAGCTGTCGAGATTAACATAAAATATTTCAGCTCAGCCAGGTTATGTAGGTATATCAGACTTAATAGTGTGAAACTCTTGGCTTTACCACAAGATAAAAGATGAAAAGTGATACTACCATATAATTCAAGCCAATTCACAGTTTCTATTTGTTCCTTTGCAACATTTTCTCAGCAACCAAACACAAGTTTAATTCAGAAAAATAAATATGTAAAAGAAACAAGCACAGAATGGTGTTATCACCTGGACCAGATTCTTCAAAGAGTTCAGAGCCCTTAAGAACGTATTCATTTCCATGAGCAGGAAGAATGAGGTCATCTTCACAAAGATCATGCCACACAAACCCATTCTTGTAGCTCCTGCACATAAGCCAAAAAACGAAAAAAAAAAAAATCAGAAAAAAAGTCCTAAAAAGAAAAAATAGAAATAAACTAAACCACTTCACCAATCTCACCTCTTGCAAGACCACGAATACATTGAAGCCATGCCTCTGCCTCTCAGGCTATTTAGCTTATCAATCACATCTACGAAATGGTAGCAAATCAGTCATCAAAATTTATCTCTATCACTAAATACATAAATGCATACACATGTAAGTGGTAGACAAACATGTACAAATATGTGTTTTGAATGTACATTGCTGTACCTCTCAAGTAGAGGCCATCTGAAGAAGAGAGAGGGACTTCGATGAAATGAGGATGCTCAAGCTGCCTATTTCTACAGAGATAATATACTACAGGAACTTTCCGATTATGCTGATGATACTTCGGCGACCTCTCCGTCCACACTTTAGCTCTCTCCGGACTCACTTGCCTGTACTTCCTCGTACGCCCCTCCATTTCACCCCAAAATATTCAATCAAAACCCTAAAACAGCAATTTACATATAAATCCCCACTTCAAATCCAATACGCTACGCTCTGATCTTCACCAGAAACCCTAGGACAGTAATGCAACTTCAAAAGCGAAATTCCGCTGTTTGGTAGAGCATATTGTTGAGATCAAAGCATTGATTAGAGCGTGTAAGATCTGAAAAATAATTTCCCAGAGCTCCGAATCCTGAAGAGATCAAATGCCACAGAAACAACACTACCAAATCAAACAATCACACACAAAATATATATTATATGATATTCCGCAGATGTATGTATAATAATGCGAAGTGTCACCGATTGAGTGAAGAACAAGAAATTTCCGCAAATGCAAATGGTGAAATGCAGTTAGACGAATCTGGAGAACAAACTACAAGCGCAAAGAGAAAGTGTTTCTAGTTGTAGAGAGAGAGAGGGACGGGAGAACAGACTACAAGCGCAAAGAGAAAGTGTTTCTAGCTCTAGAGAGAGAGAGAGAGAGAGAGAGAGAGTACCTGAGAGGCAGCACATGGAGCGCCCGTAATGAATGTATGCAAAGCAGAGAGTAAGATAGACGCAGAGAGTACTGTATAAATCTGTCAGCTGGATTGGATTAGTATTGGGGGAAGTGGCAGAGTACAGTGAGGAAAAGAGATGTGAGAGAGAGGTATCGAAACGACAGTATAGATGAAAGTGACTGGAGAGATACGAAGGTGCAAATCAATGAGGGGATAGTCTCTCTCTCTATCTCCTCTCATTTCCTTGTCTGCTTTTGTGATCTTTGGGCTTGATTCGAAGGGTTATTGATTTGCTTCTTACTGTTGAATCTACAGTGCCACCCTGCTTCCTTCTATTTTATTTTCCGAAATACCCCTTTGGAAGGTTTATAATTACAAACAGACATATCTCCCGCTTCTTTTATTTTGTAGCGTACGAGCCTATGCAACGTGATTAGCGAGAAACAAGTTGAGTTTAAATTACGTTCATCGGCTTATGAGTTTGACAGAGCAATGATACAAAATTTAAATTTTTTGTAACCAAAAAAAGTGATTTTGGAGAAAATATTGAGGGTAACGATTGATGCTACTTGATCTAATTGTCCACTAAAAAATGAAATAAATGGGCAAGTAAGCACAATAAAATTCAATAATTACTATTTATTATGTAATTTATTGATATAATGATATGATAAATAATAGAGTTTAAATGAACAAAGTCTAATAATTACAATCGTATTAATTTTATTGGACCACATCACTTTCACATCATTAAATCAATAAATTAGATCTTAATATCATTATTCATGTAATATATAATTGCTTCCAAGTAATATTATTAAAACCTAAAATTTTGACATAATTTGTTAGAGCTTTTATCCCAATTCATGGGGTTTTTCAAAAATATATTCAAAAGAGGGTTCTTTTCAAAGTATTTTCCAAACCCATGTTGTTTTAAAAACATCAATTTGAATGATATTTTTAGATCAAAAGACGTCAATTGGAGTACTATTTTTAATTAGAAACGTCAGACCAATTGACTTTTTTGTTGCAAGATAAAAGTTATATAACACACCTAAAAAAGTCAGTTGGACTAACATTTTTAGTGGCAACGTCAGTTTTACTGACGCCATCTACAAATGTCGGTCCAACTGATGTTTTTAGGTGTATCCTAACTGTTTTTATTCCTCTTTTTTTATGAGTAAATGTTTAATTTTATTTATTAAAAAATGTAATTATATTCAGTAAACAAATTTTGATCATTTAAAAGTATATAAATTTTCGTTGGTCTTACTAACGTTTAACTAAAAACTTAAAACTATTTTTTCTCCCTCTCTTTTTTATGAGTAAAATTTTAATTTTATTTATTAAAAAATTTAATTATATTTAGTACATAAATTTTGATCATATAAAAATTAAAAAATTGAAAAGGTATACATATAATTAATTTTAATTTTACCATATAATTTTAAATGCATACATATAATAAAAATAAATTTTTTTAATTTTAAATTTTGATCATGTCTACAATAATGTTTATTAAGCGGTGTAAAAATATAAGTTGTTCATAACCAAAAAATTGAGCGTTTTATTTAATAACACTTTGTAGTGAATTTGATGGAGGTAAAAAAGTATGTCAATAATGTGATTGATATTCAAAACAACATAAAAGATTATCGAGTACACATAAACATGATGGGATAAAAGTCTTAAGACGCATTATCGTCCAAATCAGAGAAATCATAAATTTCATGATAAAAAATAAGTAATGGATCCTCTAAAATTTCAATTTCGACATATTTAATATCAAAATGCTCTGTTTTTGCATAGTCGATTTCATGGAAACGATCAAGACGACGCTACATTTTATTATTTTCACGTTCAAGTCTTAATATGATTTCGTCATGATTGTTTGAATTCTGTGAATTGTAAATATCAATCGAACGTACTTTTGGTACCGCAAGTTCATGTCAACCATAAAATTCTTCAAGGTCACAATATTTATCATATAACTGTCGTCATCTTAGTGTGGGTTTGATATGAGCACTTGAAGGTGGATAGTCAGTTGCAAACTCAACAATTACATGTCCATCTTAATCGAATGGGTGATAAGAGTTGATGGGCTTATTGCGGAATGCATGTTTTTCGTTCATACTATGTTACACTATTGAAATCAGTATATGATCCAATAAAAGGAACTTTGTTCAGCGATATTGAACTGTCAGTTGAGCGTTCACGTTTGTTAGCCGAAGATGAACTATTTTGGTCATTGTGTGAAAAAACCTTTATTAGTTTGACTGTCTTGTGTATGTGATGTGCACCTATGCATCTTGTTTGGTGATAGTGCATTTATACAATTGTGAATGCTAGTATATATTTGTTCGATTTGACAATTTAAAATTATAGTGAAAGAACATAACACTGTAAAGTTCAGAATTGATTTGATAATGACAGGATGTGACAATAAAAAAGTTAGGATATAGCAACACATTGAATACACTGATAAAGCCACAATATTGATTAAAGTAAATAGGACATCACATTGCAAAGTTAGTAACTTATTTAATAATAACAATATGTGACAATGAAAAAGTTAAGATATGATAACATACTGAATAGACTAATAAAGCCACGATATTGATTAAAGTAAATAGTATGTAAACATAAACGTTATATGCTTAACAAGTTGGACACTTATTGCATTTGTTAATTTTCATCAGACATATACTTATCTGATAGGTATTGTTCATTAGACAATACATTAGATCGCTTAGTAGTTATCAACTCCCTGCCAAATGCAATTGTCACCATGTCAGTTGGTATTTGGAGCATATAATATTGGCATTTACGCAACATCATCATATTATTCTCTTTTCGTACACGTTTTAACTACTACTTTATAGTTCACTTTATTCCTTCGCGGCATAGTAAGTGAAAGTTTATGTGGTACTGATATACCAAGTTCTCTCAGATCTGTGCATAATGAGTATGATTAATTAGCACGAAAAGTCCACTTTCTTTCGGAGTCCAACATAATACTTGTTTGGATCAGAAAATCTCTCACTCTTGTAATCATGATCTCGCTCTTGCAATAACAAACTAGTTTATGGATATGGTTGTTATCACCTGCTCGTGGTGTTGATGTAGACATAATGTGAAATACATGTGATATGAACCACCTCGTATTATATTTTTATAATGGTTTCATTGTCTTAAATGCATCAGTGTGTAGTCACTTATTTTGTGTATAAGCTTCATTGTCAGCGTTATAATACTGTGTAATCACATTTATATTTGAGTTGATGGTCAAACATTGAAAAAAGAGTACAGTCAATGTGACTACACACTGACTTCTGTCAGCATAACCACACACTGGTACGTAGTCACTATGACCACACACTGAGACGTCTACTACATTGAAGCTACTAGACCCTGATTCCTAGTGATTCATGTCTATGATACATTTAACAATATCAGAGTTTTTTTGGCATTAAACTAGTGTGTAGTCATAGGATTTTGATTGTGTCTAAACACTCGTGCATTGATGTGCAATGTATGGTGTTCGTTAACGTGTGCTCCTGAACAAGAAACAAATACAACAGGACAATTGCATCATTATCATTCATTGTGACTATACACTGGTTCAATGTCAGTCATTATGATTACACACTAGTTCAATGTCAGTCGTTGTGACTACACAATGCTTTAATATCATTCATTGAGACTATAGACTGTCATACTCACATATATAATTTGCCTATAAGTTTGAACTCATGTGCAATGTTCAATGTACAAAATTCATCTCTATCCATAAGTTATAGTCCACGAACAGTGTTTGAAACTCTAGGTTATCACGGAGCTTTAGAGGATGAGTTTTTTTACCCAATGAATCATCGCGTACGATATTCACTAACATCTAGAATCACAATGATGGCGGAATGACAATATCGCTCGACGGAAAGAGAAAATTTAAGCTTAGATTTACGTTGTTGCAACATAAGAAGGCCTCGACAAGTTGTCATTGGTATGCCTACTACCATTCCTCAAGAATTAGAGCTAGCATTGTTTTGCATTCAACATGAGAACAATTGCATGGCAACCTGTTGCAATCGATACAACCTGCATCGTACTACAAGCAACCGTGTTGGAAAATGACAATAAGCAATTTAAGCTTCCAATTTAGTGGGGAAGATGGATATATTTTTGATGTGGAGATGTCTGACAAAGATGAAGACCCATGAAGAAGTGTTATGTAACTCTTGTGTTGTAACATTTACACTTCGATTGTCGTACTTGTGGATGCAGTATGTTTCTTTATTATGTCTCTATGAAATATGGTGTATTACTCCAGTTAGTATTGTCTATCTGGATTTCAATAAATTGTGTTATGTTCTTCAAAAAATGTTGCGTATAGTATTTGTTAACTAATATGAAATGCAGTAATGAAATTTCACTTTATCAAAACACGAACCCAATCTTTATATACAACACTAATTAACACAATTTATATACAAATACTATATGGACTACGTCCCACAAGGTGGTGGTCTCCTCTGTCGCTTAGGTTGTTGTCCATCAGGAGGAGCCAGTATATCTTGAGTCACTACACCATCTACAAGATCATGTGCATGGTGGTAAGGACGACTGACTCCATGCCCACCTCTGTCATCGCCCTCTGTGTGAAACCGATGGCTTTTGTGTAACTC